AAGCTTTTTAATACACTGCTGACAGAACAAATTGTGACAGCCTTTCTGTGCAATTTTGTCAACAGCTTGGGATGTAACAGTTCTGCTTCTAGAAATATATAAAAGTATAATCACAGATATATAAAGAAATTGATTGTGCCATTATTTATAATAAAAAATTGGAAATTCTAAAATGTGTGATTCTAGAGGGAGGGCCTTAGACATATTGAAGAGTCATAGAGAAGTATTTTCTTTTTTTTCCCCAGATACAAGAGAAGTATTTTCTAACAATTCCTAATGATATAGAAAGTGATAAGTTAAAAAGAAATCCGACTTTAAAATGTTATTTAGGACTTGGAATACAGCTCGGTGACAGAGCGCTTGCTTTGGACATGTGAGGCCCTAAGTTCAAGTCTAAGCTCTGTAAAATAATTAATAATAATAATAGTAAATAAAACTACACTTCTAGTTGAATCACTTACAGAGATGGGGAGCCTAGAAAAGAATATACCAAAACATCAACAGTGATCTTGGTGACGTTTCTGGGAGATTTTTAGAAGTTCGCTTAGTTTCAGCAGTGACTAGATTTTTTTAAGCGCATTAAGGGCAGGAGAGGAGGAAAGCTTTTTTTTTTTTTCTCTCTCTCTCTAAGCTTCCTAAATATTTGAGTTAGAAAGGAACCTGAGATAATCTGGTCCACTGGTTCCCAACCCCAACGCTCTCTTGCTATATGGAATATGTTGCATGGTACCCTTTACCACCCTGAAATGAACTGCAAAGGTTAACATCTATTTAAAGCTTCAAACCCATCAATAGTATGTATAGTTATTCCTCTATCCATGCATTACTGGTCCTGTCACCCCAACTGTTAGGGATACCACAATCCATAGGTACTCACATAAAATTTTATAGTACTTATATAGGACCTTAGGTACCGCTGCTCTGTATACTTCAGGTCATTTGTAGATTACTTATAATAACTAATGCAATAAATATCTTATGTGAATTGTTGTTATACTGTATTGTGGAATATTGACACACAAAAGTCTGTATATGCTTAGTGCAGATGCAGGTTGCTTTTGTTTTGTTTTGAGACAGGGTCTCACTGTGTGTGTAGCCCTGGTTGGCCTGGAACTCACTATGTAGACTAGGCTGGCCTCAAACTCACAGGGATTTACCTGCCTCTGCCTCCTGAGTGCTAGGATTAAAAGGGTATGCCACCACTGCCAGGCACAGATGAAGTATCTAAGAATATCTTAAATCTAAGCTTAGTTGAATCTGTGAATATGGAAGTCAAGGAAAGGAAGAGCCTACTGTATTAGTTATACTATGAAGGGAAAAACTTTAAAGAAAATAATTTATAAGCTAGTATATCTTAATATAAATACTTGAGAATGATTATTCCAAGACATAGAATAATAAAGTACAAGGTATGTCTTACTATCTGTAGAATCACGGTTGAATGCAATATAAACAGACTCACGCAGGTAGGTTGTGCTGGCAACTTCAATACCCATGAATGGCACTCCAGAGGGTGACAAGAATAGCTCCCAGCAAGTTTCCAAACAAAGTAAAACACCACCTTTCCACAATCTACATACTGGCAGCATTCCTGGAAACTTAGTGTATATTCACATTACAAAATCATTTTGTATTCATTTATGAAATTATTAAGAACGATGATTATACCATTTTCCCACCTGCATGAATTAATGCTCAACAGGGTATCTGAAAGTTCTTGAGATGTATATGCATACTTATTCCTCTTTTATATTTTCCCAAAACATACAATTCACCAATACTCTTTCTTGTATGTTGGGCTGCAACCTTTAAAACTAATGATATTCAGAGTTAGAGCCTTTGAGAACAGCAAGAGATTCCTAGAACGTATTCTCAAAAGTAATACAAATGCCTTTTGAATTACTGGGAACATGATTCTTTAGTAGCACCATAAGAAAAAATATTATTTTTAGGGGGAAAAATACCTATTAACTGTGATCTCTTGGTGTTTTTCTCTAGCCTGGCTCCAATCTCAGGAGTATAAAATGAACTGAGTTGGAAGAAAGGACTAACAGGGCCAGGCTACAGGGAGCAAGGAGGAGGCTAAGTTGCTAGGTTACCACTTGAACCAATCTAAGTGGTCCCAAAGGAGTACCAGAAACAGGATAGGTCTCTCTCTGGTCCACTAAGTTGAAGGCTCTCTCAAATCTCAAAGGAAGGGGAGGGGTGTTTTCCAAAGGTGAGGGAGGGGCCCAATCACTCATACTAGACACAAGTAAAGAAATGAGACAGAAGCACAAAGAAACAGACAGCCCTGTATTTCTAAAACCATTCAAGTCTCCTTCATTAATTGGCTTCCCCCCAAAAGAAAGATTTCTTTATTAAGAAACACCAGAGAGTGAAAAACCCCAACACATACACATTTGTAGGCTCACACAAAAGTGCAGACATTTACATATTAAATTACTTTTAAGTTAGAAAATAGATTTAAAAACAAAATACTTTTCTCTCAAACAAGGTAAAGAGATTTGGTCAGTAGGAAAGGGACCTTACGGGTAAGGACAGGATGGTCAGGATGGCAAGAATGGAATTTAGCTGCTATAGGATTAGAATTCACCTCTAATCCAACCCTACTCCTGGGAAAAAAATGCAAAAGGAGCAATAATGATCTCAGCTAGGGCCAGGAGGGCCCCAGAGCCAAAAGGGCAAACATTTCCCCTTCCCTCTGAGGGTTTGGATCAGTGCCAACCATCCTGGCCTGGGGAAGTGGGGTGGGTGCATAGGAAGTGCAAGGAATGGGGAGGAAGAGAGCTGGAGAGAGTGTCAGCCATTGAAAACATCAAACAATATAAGGCCTCTTTCCCCGGAGAAAGATCAAGTCTTCAATCTCTCTGATCAGAGCTCAGACTAGGCCAAGGTCTTAAATACAGAAGATTTATTTAAAAAAAAAAAAACAGAGAGAGAGAGACAGAGACAGACAGAGAGAGAGAGAACACAAGGAGTGTGAGGAAGCGGATTTAAAAAACAAAATAACAAAAACAAAAACAAAGAAAAAACAAAAACATTTTATACTAGAGATAAAAGATTTCCATTTTGATCCTTCCCACCAGAAAGAGAAAGCTCTTCTGGCTAACCTAATGGGCAGCAGAAGAGTAGCTGAGGTAAGTCGAGGAAGGAAAGAAACCCATCCTGGCTCACAAGTGGAGATAGGCTGAGTACTGATTAGAAAGAGAGTCCCATGAGGAACAGGTTCATTCGAAAAAGCAAAACCAAACACGCGTGCACACACACACACACACACACACACACACACAGTAGCTTCCACACTCTCTATGGTTGCCCTAATTTTGAACTAACTGAAATTGAACTGTAAGAACCAAACTGAGAGAGAAAAAAGGGGGGGGAGGAGAAGCAGATAGGAGAGGAAGCTGAATCAAACTCTCTCCCAATGACTCTCTCCCCCAGAAATATTACATTCAAATCTTGCAATAATCAAAAGAAAAAGACACAGAGGAACCTGGGAGCAGCCAAATTTCACTAATTACAAGTAACCGGAAAGAGTGAACTAGGAGTCTTGAGTATAGACCATTTGAAAAGAAATGCATGCTATCACTTGTAAAAGATCACTAATGGAACATTTCCAAGGGAGGTCCTAGTGAGCCTGCTTCAAAAGCCAAGACCCACTTGCAGATAACAGTGTCCATCTACTTAAAACAGTATCCTAATGAAGAACATGTTCTCTTAAGTAAGTGGAATCCCTCTACTCTCCCAGTCTTCTTCACACTGTATATTGCTTGGAAGTCCTGTGTTCATAGTCCAGAATAATATAAACTTCAGCCCAGATTTAAGGAGATCAATGGAGAGGTTGAATTTGAGAGGTGTCTATCTCTTGAACCCAAGGGTACCCTGGAAAACGGAAATATGGGAAGTAACAAGCAACCCCTTCTACCCTACCCGCCCACCCCTGACCCAACACACAAACACATTCACAACCCCATGGTGGTTCTTGAAATGGAAGAGGAAGGAGGAGACAGGCATCTTGCATTAGACAGAGTTTAATCACCTTCAAATAGATTAAAAGTCGTGGTTTGCACCCCTCCCTGTCCCCGTAAGTCATCCAGACAAGACCCTGGCTTAGAAAGAGAAAAAACACAGGTGCTCTAGGAAATATAGCCACACATAATACATAGATCTTCTTCCCTGAAATAGTGCAGGTCCTGAGCTGAGCTGCCTGGGGGGCTGTAGTCCACCCCCAGGATGAAGTGGCTCCAGGACTCTGCCGGTGGAAGTGCTGGAAGAGTAGGGGCTTGGATAAAGCCCCTGGTGTAGTTACCGTTGCCAGAGATGGGCTGAGGCCTTGGAGTGGGATACCCGGGAGGATAGCAGTGCTGGGCTTTCCCTCACTCAGCCAAGGCTTAATGGAAGTACTGTTTAGTCTTTTTTCTCTCTCTCTTTTTTTTTTTTTTGATGGGATGATGAGGGAGAGGAGAGGAGAGGAGA